GGGATAGGACTAGAGGAAATGGCTTCAAACTGAAGCATCGGAAGTTCCACAGGAACTCAAGGAAGCATTTCTTCACTGTGAGGGTGACAAAGCACTGGAACAGGCTGCCCAGAGAGGTTGTGGAGTCTCCTTCTTTGGAGATCTTTAAAACCCGCTTGGATGCAGCCCTGTGCCATGTGCTCTAGGGGACCCTGCGTGTGCAGGGGGGTTGGACTCGATGACCTCTGAGGTCCCTTCCAACCTTCGGCATTCTATGATTCTATGATCAAAAATGTTAAAAGTCTAGACCACTACTCTCAACTTAACACTGCACAATAACTTTTACCCATAATACTTTATAAGAATAAAGCTGCAAAATTATTGAATGTCCAAAACAAGCAGCACTACAATGACTCACTTTAGCTGAACCTGATCAGCGAAGAGAAAATAACTGTGGTGAAAACTGGGGATATTGATCCCCTCAGTGGCAATCAGGGTAAATGAATCAAATGTATGTGTCTGAATACAAAGCTCCTTTGAAGTTCAGATGATCCCCAGGCATGAGCAGAGCATGTTAGCTTCAGAGAAGTATACTTTAACATAGTGATTGTGTCACAGAATTATTTTCCATTTAATCTCTTATAAAAGAATAATATTGGGCAGGATATTGGGTGGACAACAGCTGAAGACAGACAATTAGTCTCAAAGAGAAATTAGTCTCAAAGAGACACTGTGCATTTGTCACTACTGTGCTAAGCTCCCTGACAGTACTATGTTTTTTGCTAATGACAGACTAACAGATCAATGCTGTTGCATTTTAATTCTTCAGTGTCAGGACTTAGTCCCAAATATATTAAAAATAGTATGACTTTTGTTACCCAAAAGTATTGACTCGTAGCTGACATTGAGTGATCAGGTGTTGCTTGTGAAAGTAGAGCCATTATGAGTCAACTCAACATGACAGGGAAAAAGAGCTTCAAAAAAAATTTTTTCCCCATATTTAAACAGAAAGAGGCTTTTATTTCTCAGGAACATTCATTGTTCAACTCTGAAAGCTCAGCTTTTTCTTTCAGAAAAGGACATTCCTTTTGTGATCAACTCTCACCTTTTCTTAAGAATATGAGGGAAATCATACAGGGTTACCTTCGTTGGTCTGTGTCCCACAGTAACTTTAATCTTTTTCACTTTTTACCCAAGTATCATAGAAGGCCCTGGGGCTATTTGCTTAGTTTAGTCCAGTGTTTTTTGCAGGACCTGTTTTCTTGTTCCAAGTTCATTATCAAAAGGATGAATAGGTAAGTAGTGCTAGCTGTGATCTGAATGTTTTAACACCCATCTTTCTGTAAAGACCAATCTTATTAATAGTTTCATGGATGTCAACTTCCTTTTAGCATCAGCAAACTCACAACTTAAATCACTGGGAAGACCATTAGTTTGCTGAGGCGCACCTAATGGTTCCTTGTAACACTTGCCAGGACACTAGAAAGAGATAGCCCAGTTTCCCGTGTTAAAAGGGCATGTGAAACTTTGAACATAGGTCAATTTTTAAGTCTTTGGTTTTCAGAAATACAATGACAAGCACTGACGTAATATGCTTTAGCTTAGAAAAACATATAAACAGCAAATTCTCAGAGATTTTATCTAAACTTGGAAAACATGTTCACTGTAAAATATATTTATACACAATATTTTTTGCACCACAGAATCACTGAATTACCTTACATAACAATGTAATTTAATAAAGATTACATTAATATTACAAAATATTCGTAACTGGCTATTTACCAAATATGCCTTTCAGATTTTAAGCACCATCTGTCTCAGCTATTTCAGAGATTCTTTTTTTCCTAATAGAAGCTCCTTCTCCTCCTGCCAATGATCCCAGTAAAATACTAGGGTTTCTAGGTTTGACCTGGAATCTATATTTCTGATCTCCCACAGTTACTAACAATTACATAAAGAGGAGTCACTTATATCTGATCCATCAGCTAACAACTCACATTCATGTTCATCTTACAAAGTAGTTTTATCTCTTCTGCAGCTGGGGAACATATTCAGTTAACAGCATTCAGTCAAGCCCATATACATTGCCAATGAAAGGGAAGTAGGAAAAAGGAAAGAAAAAAAAAAGTGGAGGGCATTAGGAGATGGGTAGGGGGGAAAAAGAGCATAACTTAGATGCACTACAGTGTTCCTTTCTTTAATGGTTAGTCTTGCAGCATCCCTTGCAATTCATCGTAAGTGAATCAGTATGTGGCATGTGCTATAAATGGACCAGCAGTAACAGAGAGCACCTTACATAAGGCATACCTGATTTTGCAATGCCATTATCATTAGCTGTTTATTCAAGTGGATTCTTACAGAAAAAGCCTTCACTATTCTGAGAGTGATGAGGGTCAAACCAGGACTCTGGCAGGAAGTCAGAGGGTTTTTTTTTGACTAGCAAGTTCTTTTGATATTCTTAGATGAACATAACTTATCTACAGATTGGACAGAAGATGCGATTGCTATATATTAATAAGATTGCCCCAAAACAAGCAAATCTTGAGTGCTTTAACTGTAATTACCTAGATTTATATATGTAACGCACACATGTAAAAAATATGCATGTGTGCTAAATTTTCATACCAATCAATAGCTTTTGCTGCATAAAAGCATGTAGGCAAAGATGTCACTGAGCAAGTTTAAGGAGCCAGCTCAGGAAGCAGAGAAGTTCGGGCCACAGTAATTGCCCCATGAAAGCCCTTTTCTGAGCTGAAACCATCACCTCAGCCAGGCCCAGACTTAGACCCTTTCTAGGGAAGCAAGCAGCAGCGTAGGGGCAAGAAACTACCATATCCAGGAGGAGCTACTCATTTGGCTTTATCCCTGCTAAAGCCACTTTTGCTGCTAAGGGGCAAATTAAGATAATATTAAGCATTTCTATACTGTGCATGAAGATTTGTATTGGCCATCTTCCTTCATTATCTCTACAGTGCAGCCCCAAATATGACTACGGGATACTCAAGCCAGCTTGAGTCTGCGTCTTCATCTGCTTCTTCAACTCAAGGAAAATAATACAAAACCCACATTCAGAATTTGCCTTAAGTGGAGTCACAAACACATCACTGGGCCAAACATACAAGCAATTAGCAAATTGCAATTAGCCTACCTTGCCCCCATAAGTCCTGACCAAGAGGTGCACTCAGACTCCAACAGTATTTATAGGCTATGTTATAATATATAAGGCATCAATCAACAGGACCTAAATTCATTCAGTTCACAAGATAAGCCTGCTCTGGGAGTGATCCGTTGTGCATAGAAAAGAAGACTTAATTTATTTGAGAAATTGAAAGACGTGCAGTGAACAAGACCAAAGTTCTCTAACAAAAATGGTCAGTTTGAGCAAATCTGAAGCTCTGCTCAGATTTTCACTCGCTGTGGGTTACATTTTCTGAAGGCCTGACCTGAGATTCTGTAACCTGATTTTCTGAACTTCTGAAATTAAGACGACAATAGAAGCTGTGATTCAAATGCAGGATGGACTTGGCAATGCTGCCTGGTCCTACCTGCGCAGAACCAAAACATCCAAATTAAGCAGACCCTGCTAATTTCAATCTTTCTGCCTCAATTCCTGATCTGAAAGTGGTAAGGGGAAGAATAGTTCTTTTCATATGTTAGAAAAAAAAGAATGGTTGGAAATTCACACACACTCACACACGCTCCAAAAGGCAAACAATGTTTGCAGAGACAGTGGAAGGACAAAGACAGGAGAAGAAAATGAAGAGATAATCAGTGTAAAGCAGTCCGGAAACCTAAATGAACATTTAAATCCAGCCATGAAAGTCTGACGGGGCTTAATAATAAAAATGAAATAAACTTTCATAATAAGAGGTGCCAGGAGCACTTAATGCGCCATTCTTCTTATAGTAGGACCTGGACTTTCTATTGTATTCAACCAACAAGCAACTTATCTTACATTAAAATCTCCAACTTTACGATAAGTGTGAAAGAAAAAAATGGAAGAGGAAGCACTATAAGTAATTAAACCATTATACAGAGCAGCTGGATCTATGTGGTGAACAGTAAAAGGACTTTCATTTGTGTCCTGCATTGAAAGCTTCTACAAGTCTACAAGCAGATGAGATAGTTTGCAAAAAAGAAATCTGACTGGTAGCATTACATCTTAGGAAGAAGAGGCAAAAGTGAAGAAATTAAAAGACATTGGAAATAAATTTTATTAATAGGATTAATATTAATTATCATCTGCACTACTGATCCACAGATCAGTACACTTGCATCCAGTTGAACTCAGGAGAAAAAAAGGACAACTTAAATAGTCCCACTAGATTTAACTTACTAGCATAAGGATATCTGTAGTATATATTTCTTAGATGAGTATGTATTCCTAAAATAAAAAAAAATTTGGAGTAGAATATTTAGAACATCATACCTTAAAATAATTTACTCTCAATATTAAAGACTCAAATAAAGTCATGTAATTCTGTCCTCTCACTTTCTCAGACTTATTTGTTATCTCTTCTCAGACATTCCACTTTATAAATTAAATTTGCCTTTGCCATTTTCCTATGGGATGCAAAACAGTATCTCCATGGATTAATACCTATCTTTCCAAAGGGATTTTTCTGATTCTCATTTTAAAATATATTAGCTGAGAAGTGAAAGGCATCGGGAAGTTCAGAGAGAACACAAACAGGCAATATCTAAAAACTAAGAGCAGCATGAATGTGATTTTCTAAGATTTTATTTGACAATTAAAAGAAAGGAATATCTCAAATAAAAAGGCTCACAGATGCTGAAGCACAATGGGGAGGTTAAAAAAAATACAGGACCAAGAAAGTTTCAAATGAGGGGTCCCAGAGCATATGTTGTTTGGAGGAGAAGGAATGCTCTCTCGTGCTCTTCACCGAAGGAGTCCTTTCATTGCTAATCACCTTCGTTTTGCACAGCTCCAGCATAAGCGCTCCTCAACTTTGCTAGCACTCCTTGCATCTCTTTCTCCTACCCCTACAAAGTGCTCCTCATCTTATATCTTTGCCACCCAAACACATGGGAGTTTTCCCAAAACTTCAATAGTCCTGAAATCTGCTTAAAGACAAAACACACACACAAAAAATGGAAACTTTAAAACATACTTAAGGACTATCCATAAAAATTATAACAAACATAGTTTTCACAGTGTCCCATGGAGGGATAAGAAACCCACAGAACAGCACCTGAAGGGGTGTCACTGAAGTAGCTGTAAGCCCTTCTCAAGGCAGCACCTCATCTGGAGAAAGAAACAATTTTACAGAATACCCAACACCAGCCCACAAGTGAGATAAACAAAAAATAATTAGCAATTAACCTCAAAAGGAAAGAAAATTTTACTTCAGGGGAACACTTGTCGTGACAATTCTGCTTGAACCTTTCCTTCTCTGGCAAGTGTGCGTGTAATTGATAGAGGGAAGAACAAGCAGATTTGGTTTCCTCTACCTTTTAGCAGCATCTGATGAAACCAATGTACAGACATTCTCAGCTGTGGCCCAGTTACAGCAGGTGCCCACCTAGACGGTAGATCTTTTTGTTTTGGTTTGTAATTAGGTAATTGTCCACCATCATCTCACTGTTTCATGATGAAAATGCCCCCACTGAAGCCCTGAGAGCCTTCAACCAGTGGCTATAGCACCCACCAGACCATGCTGTCACACAGGCTGAGCTACAAAGACCCAGATTTACTCTTGTGCAGGAAGACTCGAGGAAAGACTTACTGAAATTGCAGCTAATCCCTGTATAGTTCCGGGCTGCCTCTAAATCCTTCAATTTGCTGACAAAACCATGTAGGTTGGGACACGGAAGAAGTCAAATAAGATGGGGTTGTCATTTCTTCTCCAGTCCAAACTGCAGGGCAGCTGAACAAAATTCTTGGGGTTCCTTAGACTGTGCAAGACAAGGAGCATCAAACAGCAGCAGAGAATATCTGATGGTGTCATATAAATTAGGCACTATGCTTTACTATTCCCTCTATTAGCAGCATATGTCATCAGGTAAAATCTGTTAAAATGATTAGCCCTGTAAGATTTAATGGGAAGCTTTGTAAACATTTCAATACAGATGTCTTTGGGAGGGGTCTAGAGGCTTCTACCCTTCCTTTCCATTACTATTTCTGTTGCTATTTCCAATGTGATCCATTCCATAGACCAGAAGAAGTTTGGATTTTAAAAAATTCATTTTTTTCCACTCATGTTGAGAACTTATTGTTCAACTTGTATAGACATGTCCTTAGATCAAGGTCAGTTTTCCTTAAGCTGCTCTCTCCACTCTCATTTTTCTTAGTATGGAGTCATCACACTCAGTGGGGCATAAAGCCATCATTTAGTCTGATAGGGCTGTTTCACTAGTTTTGCTTCAACAGTCCCAGCCCAAACAGCAAGGCTTAAGCAACTCAAGATGATTCAGTTCCTAAAAGTTTTCTGTTGCTGGAGTCCTAACCGCTGCTATTAGTTAGCATGTCACAAAACGATCGTCCACAAAACCGTCTCTGGCCCTCAAGGTGACATCTCGCCCTCCCAAGCACAGCCCAGGGTCTTGCTCACCACATGACTCTGCACCACAAGCCCCAGAATCATGCAGAGAAAATTCCTTCTTAGCATCAAATGCTCCTAAAACCCAAACTCTTCTTTGGAAAGTCTAGCTTCCTAAGGAGACACGGCCATCTGTCTCCTCCTGTCCTTTCCAAAATGCATCCAGTTATTTTCCTTGATTTTCAAAGACATTTATTAACCCTTTTATGTCTTGTTTGGAATAGAAATGTGAGTGAAGGACAGCAGAGCAGACACAAGGTGGAAACTGCATGATTCTGTAGGTGGGAATATTCTTATGCTTTAGTTAATGTAAGTGCTGCCAGCAGGGATACTAAAATTAAAAGAAAATCAGTCTCATTAATCATCTAATTAGGAAGGAGTATAATGAAGCTGCAGGTATTACGGAGTAAACTTTTTTTTTTTTCACCTTGGGTATATTTTGTGCAAGAATGTTACTATCAGAGGTGTACACATTAGTCCATCATTGCATTTAGTGATGAACATACTGTTGCTGCACTCATTCAGTAACAGATTTTAGATCTCACTTATCCATATATTAACATTCCTCTGCATGTTTTGGTAAACACGAACTATTTAAAAATGTATTATTCCAAATTTGAAAAAATGATACCCTTGTTTACTAAAAACACTGGAAATATAGTACTGGACATGACAAACCTTAAAACTGATTTGGCTTTATATTGAAAGTATTCTATGACGAGCATGAAAGGTCTCTTCTCCCGATCACTTTGGGCACGTGAATGGTGCACATTGAGCAATAAACAATTGTTAGTTTCGAGACTTTAGCCCAAACTCTACCAACAGAAAAGGATTTTTTTCCCTGTAACTTCTCAGCGTTCCAGTTAACAGCTTTATGGAACCATTTGCCTTCTGCCCCACTCTACGTGAGCATTTGGCACAGTTTTGAAGCAGTAATTTCTAGCTGTATCTCACCTCTGTGCTGGTAGAAAGCAAACTTCCACTACCTCTAACAACAAAAAGTTATACAACATTTGGATTAGTATGTTCTTTTGAGAGATCCTCAGTCTGCTTCACATCCACACCTCGGATGGGTTGTCCCATCCTAGCTCTACCCTTCTGCACCACAACCAGGAAAACACTGCCACACATTTGCAAGACTCTATCAGTTCTCTCTAGAGTCATTACTGAGCAGCAAGTGCCCAAGACCCACCTGGCATCACCAAGGGAACACCTTGCACTCACTTCAGCTTAATCAACTAGTTCGCTCTTCTCCTTACTGTTACTAAACGGAGAGTGAGAAGCCTGGATAAGCCAGAGCAAGTGCATAGCAGAGCACCATGAGTGACAGCTGGCACCTTCAGAAAGAATGAGTTCCTACACAATTGCAAGAAAACGTGTTGGTCTCTATTTTAAAAGGTATTATTTAGTTATAAAATCTTGAGTTCACCCACTGAAAGTAACTAGGGAGCCTGTTCTCGCATAAGACACACTGAAGTCTCCATACACTTTGTTCAGAGGTTTGTCTTTGACTTCAGGGAAATGTCTTCTTCTGGGATACATTAAATATCAAGACCAAGAAACAGAATACATATAAATATCACCTTGTGCTGCACAGAGCAGGGGGCCCTTCTTTTGCACATGCGGATTTGGTGACTGCAGGCCCTGGCATCATCTGACAAGGCAAACGCTGCCATGAATGAACCTGTTAGGAGGCTGCAATTGCTGCTCAGACATGTGAATACATCTCTCCACAGAGCTTACAAATGATGTGTATCCAATCCTCCTGTGCTCTAGGTCAGGCCTCTGGACAATTCAGAATGATTTTGGGCTCTCTGAACTTATCTTTCTCTAGGTTTAATGTAGCCAAATATCCTGAAAACATTCTGAGCATTTGGCAGACTTCACAAATATACCAAAAGACTGCCTCCTCCTACTTGTACATTTATGGTTACCATTTGAAGCAACTGATATTGTATGAAGTCCACAGAGCAAGGTGACATTATAGATGCATTTTCAAGGCAAACTACGAGGAGTTTCAGACACTGTTTTTAATGTTAATGAGGTTGGAGCATGAAACTCCCAAAGCTCTGTGTGGATGTTTACCCCTGTGCCTGGAATGATTAATTCCAATAAGGAACTCCCTGAAGTACAATTTGCAATGCTGACATGAACACACACAGCCAGATGCTGCCCTTTGCAAAGAAGAGAGATTGCTTAAGATGAAAGTTTCAGTGCGTTTCTCCCTCTCCATTAAATGTTACTCTTTGACTTTCACGATGCAGATACTTATTTGCTGATCAAACTTGGGAGATTTAGGCAGAGTGGAGTGAAAAAATTATATTCAAATTGGACAATGCACAAGCAATCTTTTTCTGTCTGTATTTTCAAAGGTATCTTTATCTGTATTCTGTTTTAAGTGCCAATATATTGCTAGTTTTTTGTTCTGTGTTGGAATTATAACTATTTAAAGCAGACACTACTACTTCATAGAATCATAAAATCCTTAACATAGGAAGGGACCAATCATCTAGTCCAACCTCCTTGCACACGCAGGGTCACCTAGAGCATGTGGCACAGGATGACGTCCAAGTAGGTTTGTAAGATCTCCAGAGGAGACTCCACAACCTCTCTTGGTAACCTGTTCCAGTGCTCTGTCACCCTCATTTTTTTCCTGAAGATCCTGTGGAACTTCTGGTGCTTCATTTTGTGGCCGTTTCCTCTAGTTCTATCAGTGGCCATCACTGAAAAGAGGCCAGTCCCATCCTCCTCATTCCTTGACGCTGACCAGGTCCCCCCTCAGCCTTCTCTTTTCCAGGCGGAACAGGCCCAGCTCTCTCAGCCTTTCCTCATAGGGCTGTTCCAGGCCCCTGATCATCCTCGTAGCCTTGTGCTGGGCTGGGAAGGCCAGAACTGGACACAGTCTCCAGATGGGGCCTCACCAGGGCTGTGTAGAAGGGAGTCAACCACCTCTCTCGACCTGCTGGAGACGCTCTTCTTAATGCGCCCCAAGATTCTGTTGGCCTTTTTGACCACAAGGGCACACCACTACCTCACGGTCAACTTGTCCACCATGAAACCCAAGTCCCTCTTTGAGGAGCTGCTTCCTAGAAGGTCAGTCCCTAGCCTGTACTGGTGTCTGGGGTTATTCCTCCCCAAGTGCAGGACCCTGCATTTGGTCTTGTTGAACTTCATGAGGTTTCTCACTGCTGAGTTGTCCAGTCTGTCCAGGTCCCTCTGGATGGCAGTGCAGCCCTCAGGGCTATCAGCTCCTCCTCCCAGTTTAGTATCAGTAGCAAACTTGCTGAGGGAGCACTCCAGCCCTTCATCCAGGTCGTTGATGAATAAATTCTACAAGAGTGGACTGAGGACTGACCCCTGGGGGACATCGTTAACTACAGTCCTCCAACTGGACTCAGTGCCACTGATTACCATCCTCTGAGCTCTATTTGCTAAATTTGTTTAAACAAATGTGGAAACAACAAATAAAACACTCAAGTTTCATTGAATATGCAGATTGAGGAGGTTCACTAACAACAACATGCATGAGTGCTCCTCCCAGTCTTAAGTAAGGAGGGACTTAGCAGCTATTTTCCCCTTTATGGCCCAAGGGCATTACTTAGAACATTGTACTCATTCTGAAGTCTTATAATTAAAACTGTAATACATAGGCTACCAGTACAAAACAATATATACTGTTAGTGTAATACCTAAATCTTTCTTATTTCACTTTATGATAGCTATCAGACCCTTGGTTTTTCAAAGTCAGCATGAGCTTAGCAAGCACAGAGTACTCAGAGCACATGGTTAAATTTAGGCTTCCCCTTCCCTTCAGTACAAGCTCACCAGGTTAATGGACAGGGCAATTCTGAACACAAACGTGTCTAAAGACATCTAGAAGTGGAACAGGGGCCCTGAGACATGGTAAGAGCAGTGAATATTCAAATATTCAAGAAATACTCAGTCATGGAAGAAATTCAGCAGAGCAGAATTTCCCTTCCATAGAATCATGGATTCTGATGAGGCTATTACAGCTTTATTTTAACTGTATATTGTTTTTCCAACTTACAGCACTTTTTAAGCCATTTTGGAGCCTTTTTGTTGCTATTAGTAGGTTTCCTCTGTGGAACAGTATCAGTGTTGCCTTTATTTGGGCTGTCTTCTAGTATTTTTGCTGCTTGGTAGATGTTAATATATTCTCCAATGGCATTTAGAATGCTTTTCCTGACAATGTAAATACCAACCAAAGAATGATGCTCTGTCCCTAAACTGTCTTAAAGCACACTCAACCTGAATCTTTAAAATCTTCCTTCATTCGGCTTCACTCTGCACTTTCTTGCCATAATCGATTAGCAAGGCTAACTTTTCCTCCTTACT